ATTATAAACATTCACAAAAATCAACTTTAAACGATTAAAAAATAGGTTAAATATGTCATTGTCTTTATTTTTAATATATTNCTAAAAGTTATGGTAATATATTCAATTTATTTTACTATAAACTTTCATAAATCTTTATCAAAAATTTTTCATCAACTTTAAAGAACCAAAAAAATAGGTTAAAATTGAAAATTTGGACTGATTATTTTTAACATATTAAAAATCAAATCAGTAATAATTTGAAAACAAATTTTTTTTTCTTTAAATTATTATTTTATATATAATTAGTAATAATAAAAAAAATTAGAACTGATAGAAACAATCTAATTCCAGATTTGAAAACAACGCGACAATTTGATTTAGAAAAGTATATTTTTGCTTCTGATGAAAGTTCCTTGTAGTCCAGTGCATTTTTTTATAGTAACAAACAGTTTTTATTGAAAATTATTGTATCAAGCCCTTTAAATTTTTATACACGTAAAAGTAAAGCAAAATATAACTTCTTTATTATTTTTATAATTTCTCCGTTTAAATTACAATATTAAATATCAATTTCATACTAAATTTAATAATTATAATTAGTATTTATTCATATATTATATTTTAAAATCAAAAAACTACTAATTAGGATATAATCAAAGAAATAAGAGTTGATATTGCTTTTGGATTTATCCACCAATTTCTCTAAATGAAACACTATCTACAGATTTGCATCGAAGCGTTTCTTATGATAGTAATTTTAATCACTGTCAGATATCATTTATACTTGTCCCATCTATGCCTCGTCTACACTGTGCCTCGACCCTACTGTGCTACCGTTTTTTTTTTTTAATGGAAACACATATTTTTAATTTAATAAAATGTTTGAGTTTTTAATTTAATAGTACATGGAATTTGAATTTTTAATATAACTTAATTCGTTTATTAGATATAAACATTTAAACTTTAAAATTTTTGAGTTAATATACATGTATAATACACAAGGTATTACAAATACAGGTAGTTCATAAAAAATCTTACGCACAGTGAAAATATATTGGACTTGTATTAACTACAATAAATGATGTTAGATAGTCACGGTTTAAATTGAGTATTTTTGGACTTGCGTCAACTACACCGGACCGTTAAATTGAATATGTTATGTTGAACATTGATACATTTAAAAATAAAAAAATATAATAAGTTATAGTAAAAATATTTTATTCCAAGTTTAAATTAAGCAATATTCTCAAAACGAGAAAGCTGCTATCTACATAGCAATGAAACATTTCTAGAATATTTCAAGAGTATTTATTTTTGATATTAAAATATTTCTAGAATATAACCAGAATATTTTGAAATATTCTCACGATGTTCTCAGAATATACTTTGGCAGCAAATATTACATTCTCACAATATTTTTAAAGTATATTTCTAAAATATTAAAAAAAAATATTTTGACAATATTTTACAAAATATTTTATCAATATATTAAAAAAATGTAAAAAATCAACGCGCTTCACGGAATTCAGACTTCGTACTACAAATACTAGCAAGAGACGTGTTACCAACTAACTTACAGGTTACTACGACTGTGATATGATAAAAAAAGATATTTAAGGTAGTTCAAATTTTCAGTCATTTTTCCCGTTTAAAAAATTTCCAAGTAAATGCAACTTTATATTCAATTTAGACGAGATTCATAAAATTTTTTTGAAAATCGGCGATCCCATCACCGTGACCTCTCCTTAAGTTAGAAATTGACACATCTTGTTAGTAATATATAAATATATTCTAACTATAACAAAAAAACTTTTTAGGATTTTAAGGTTCACAAAACAATAATAAGATATAATCGCGCTGATAAAACTAAAAAAAATTTAACTCTATAGGCCTGCAAATAATAGCAACAAGGGTTTTTTTACTGTCCCTGACTTACCTAGTTTATTTGAATTAGGTTAATTGAAACTGATACTAATTAGAGAAAACGGCTGTTTACTTATTAAGGATTTCGAAGTATGTATATGAAATACATAAGTATTATATAACTAGATACTGACACGGTAATAACTGGTTTATGATAAAATAAATTGTGACGCCGTTAAGATTTGACTGTGGAGTCTATTTATTTTATTCTAAGTTATAATAATATTATTATAATTTATAATGTACAAAAAACTGGTGAACCGTAAGGTGCGGATAAAACAAAACAAGGCGCTGGTAAATAACACACGGCACGTACGGCGGATGTAAGTCACAGATGAACTGGTTTACATAGTCGCCGACGTGTCTCGCGGTGCTGCACCCCCTGATCTGTCCTATCTACCGACCGCTGGATAAGACAAAACTTGTGTTATCGTCAACACTAATGAGTGCGACGGTGGACAGCTGATAATCACGACCGGATAACGTGCTAGTTCACTGTAAATGAATAGTGCGCTATTACGGGCCGTGTCAATACCAATAACATCCAAGGGTGTAATTAAAGAGAGACAAGGGGATGGCTTGCCTCTGTTAAGTTACTACAGTTTGCCAACAAGACATATATTTATAATATTTAAAAAATTACATTAATAATATATTCAATAAATATTTCGAGTTAAATATTCTATATTTATTATAATTAATATATTTTCATAATATTTATAAGCAAACATTTAAAAAGATATTTTTGAAGCACACTGTAGAAATATTTTTAGTGTAATATTCTGTATTTATTCTCTTTAATATATTCTCAAAATATACATAAACAAATATTTAAAAAATTATTTTGTGAACATATTATGGAAATATTTCAATAGAATATATTTTTTATTATATTTATGAGATATTGTCACAATATTTGCTTCAAAATATTTTAAATAGTACTTTGTAAGAATATTTTAAGAATATTAATATATCGTTATGTTAATTAATAAATTGTTATATGGGTAGCTACATTAATGTTATAAATTACTGTTATTTTAATCTTGTAAATACAATTGAAATAAACACTATTAGTTTTAAGTAAAAATATGCATGTGATTGTGTATAACTACAACTGCACTTGGGGTTAGACAGTTAAATAACTGTCTGTTTTTATAGGTGTATATATCAAGGTGCCCAGTAATATACATATTTAGTTCCGTATATGGAAATTTGTATATTTTTATGAACAATAGGAACAGTGAAAACTAATATCCTTACCTTTTGAGCTCTATATATGAATCATGTGATCATGTTTTTTATGTTTGTTATATAGTGTAATGTATTACATAATGTATAATTGAATCGGTTATTTTCAAAATGGCCATATCTCCATAAAATTTTATTTTTCAGAAAACGTAAAAAACTGTTTTTAAATATCAAAATAAAGTTAGATGAAAATTGAATAAGGGTTGAATTATTGAAATCCCTTATAAAAAACCAACTATGATATAATATTGACTATTTATACCTATTGGATTATTTTACGATTGAATGAACGTGTTTGAGATATGGCCTTTGCAAAGGGTTGTAAATTTTCATTGATTATGACCTCGTGACTCTGATCAATTGGTTTATTGTATATCATATAAAATTAAATAATTAGTCTTACAAAATAGACTGTGCATTCTTTGTAATAATTTTATTTATGAACTTCAACATCACTTCTTTTTAATGAATTTTTTTTTATAATACCAATCGTAGACTCAGTTTTGTCTTCAAATTCACTCATATTGACTTATTATTATTTTATATTCTTGATAATAACAATAATTATTATTGTTATTATCAACTGTTATCGATAACAGATAGACAATAAACCAGAGGAAAATAGAATCTTAACAAATAAAATTGCTGATCAAGTTATTTTTGGAGAAATGGCTTTTTCGAATGCACTCGTTATTTTTAGACTATAACAAGTTGTTGGAGATATGACGGTCTTGTAGGAAATATACATTATTATTAGATAAACACATATATAACATAAAAGTATTTTTAAAAAAATGTGGAGAAATAGCCTTTTTGAAATTACCGATTCAATTTTAACCCCAACTTTTTCAGTCAAATGTATTGAATTTTCTTATTTATCTTATTTACTTTTTTTAATTATTATAATTATGAAGTTTAAAAAAAAAAAACATTTTCAAAGAGTAGATTTAGGGGTAAATTTTTTAAAGTTAAATGGAAACTTATACTAATTATAGGTTCTTATTTAACTTTAAAAATAATTATTATCTAAGAAATTCATTTAATGAAATAAAAAAAATTTTGCTTGATCAATAATCAGTTTTTTAATTTTATTGTTTAAAATAGTAGCATTTAATGATGTAGACAAAGTAAAGAGTGGCGTAGTGTTTAATGGTACTTTATATTTACCATGACGTGCAGAAAACACCACTAGGTTGCAATCATTTCACCTGTACTTAAAAATTATTTAAACTCAAAAAGTAATCTTACAAAATAGGCTAGTGACTAGTCAAAACTGTTATTACTCTATTCTTCTCTAATAATGTAAAAAAACTTTTTGGCAATATTATTAATTTTTGAAAGTTACTATTATAAACTATCCTTAGAAAAAGATTGTTTATAATTGAATTCATATTTATCACAAATATAAAAAATGTTATTCATTGCAATTTTTTTGAAAAAATTATTTCGAAAAATTAAATGTATTATTCTTAACAAATAACACGATATAACTATAATAATAATATATACATATAATATAAATATATATTTGGTTGAAAAAAAAATTATGCGATGGCCGGGAATCGAACCCGGATCAACTGCTTGGAAGGCAACTATGCTGACCATTACACCACCATCGCATGATATTTACTACAAAAATCTAAGCCTTTTGGGTATGACATATTTAAGAAGTGTTTCGATGTAAAGGTATAGATGGTCAAATGGTGCAGATGTATATTAATGGGGGTTATTATAAATTCCTCTAAACATTTTTATTAGATACTATTTTGGATAAGACAATTACAATAATTAATTATACAGTTATCTTTATAAGTATAAATAAAATTAAAAACGTATGCATTTCTTTTTATAAAATATATTTACAATTACTCCATTTGTATAAATTTCTCCCAACACATTGCTAGTGAAAAATCTAGGCGAGTTGTGTAAACGCCTCGCGCTCTGTGGAGCTCCAAAGATAGCATGTGCGTTTTTATAGTTTTGTTTGGTAGAGATATTCATAATAAAAATGTTCATGACCCATCACAAAACGAAAAAAAATTACATCTGCGCCCTGTAATCATTTTTTACTAGGGGATCTATCCTCTTTAGCCCCCTCCCTTTTTAAATAGAGTCCATATAAGTATGATATGTCCCAGGCTCTGCAAAGGCTAATAATACACCAAACCAACGCAGAGACTGTCCCACAGGACTTTAATCATCATAATATCCAGACTGTCATGTAAAAGCCAGTAAAGCCCAGAGCTTGAAACTCGCACTTGTAAAAATATACATCGTACATTGTATGATAACTTTTTTGCCAAGAGCCAGATAAATCTTAAAACAGACTGTGATAATACCTGAAATGATAGTGCATCCAAATTAAAAATTAAAATAGATTAGTAAAATTATAGACTTTTAAGTCAAAAGTTATTAACCCTTAAACAGTCGCGTGGGGATCTAGCATACCCCCACATAAATAAAAACGGATGTATTATATTGTATAAAAGGTGTACATAGATATGAATTTAGAAGATGGTTTTTATAGTAATATTGAATCGATTTTCATACATAAATACCTTCGAAAAAAAAATGTATGACTTAAAATATTCATCAAAATTGAAATGGGTCATATTTACCCCCACGCGACTTGTAACGTTATACTTTTTTTTTGGACTTTTATTTTTTTCAAAATATCGTTTTGTTCTAAATGCAATGTATTAATCGATAATATATTGTGGAATTATGTGGATCTACCACTGGCTGTGCAATTAAGTTTTAAAAATAAATAATCTATTGAGAATTTCCACTACTCGATGATACAGAACAAATAAGAACAAAACATGTAATAAATACATCGCGTCGCAATGTGGACACATTGATTATCAGTAATCGATGTGCTACTACGAACGAATAATTGTATATACCCGTATCATAATAATTAAGTGTATTGTAATATTAATAATAAAAAAATTCAATTCAGAAAAATGATTATATAAATGTAAATACACATAAAACTAATAAATATAAGCCGTGTTTGAGCTCAAAGAAATACAAGAAAAAATAATTTTAAAATACAATTTCTAATAGTAAAAGCTTTTGTTTTGCGTCTTAAAAATAAGATTTTGCAGTTAATATAATTTTTTTACAAACCAAAATTTTTTAATGAAATTTTGAAAATTTAGTTTTTTTTTTTCGTAATATAATTTTTTGTAATGCACATAATTTTGTAATTTATTTATTTTTTAATTTTTATCCATAATTATATATCATATGGTAACAAATAATGTCTTTGAATTAGAAAAAATGAACTTTTCTATACATATTTTATACTTTTTTAGAAATGGGGTTTGATAGACCCCCACGCGACTATGAACGTTAAAAATAGGCACGCGCCTACTAAAGGGTTAAACAAATTATTTTACACGTTCATTCATTCTGGTTAGGGTAAGTAGGAGTTAGCAGAAGTGGTTAAAGTGAGAGTGGACAGAGGGGGACGGAGTCCCCCTTATTATTTAAAGTACAATCTAACATCCCCCTTAAATCGAATCCAAAAAATGTATGGGGACGATATAATTTTAAGCCCTGAAGAGTGAATAGCGTTAATTTAAGAATTTTATTCGAAAGGTCGAAATTTCAAAATTGTTAAAAGAAAAATAATTGTAGAAGAATTTTAATTATGAAATGATAAGAATTTTATTATACGGCCGTGGTAATATAAGTACTTGGAGCACGGCCGACAGTTACGTGAATTATTATTATTTGTTTGTTTTTGAATAACTCAAAAGATGAATTGATTAATTTTTTAATGCAAGTTAGAAAAAACATTCAAATAATTTATGGCTATACATAAAACTAAATGACCTATTATATTAAGGGTAATAAAGTGATGGAAATAAAAATAAGGTGATATAAACATTTGTTATATTAATAGAACTTAACACGTTTGTTGATATATTTTTAGCTTGTCAAATATTTTATATATTATATTAATACATTTTTCATTTCATATTTTTTATGTAGATACCTAATGTAAATTGGTTACTATTAATATTTATTTCTCAACTTATTTCTGTTATAGTATAATATTTAAAATTTAAAAAGACCTTTTTGTATTTATTTACTCGATAATAAAATTTTGATATTTACTTTGTGATGTTTTTATAATACTCATTTCTAATTAATTTTGAAGAGGAAACAAATCGGTGTAGCTCGGAAACGCTTTTCATTTTTTAGGAACTGTATTCCCCCCTCCTATTTTTTCTCACTTTAACCACGGGTTAGGAGGGCTAGATAACGCTAAGTGAGTATTATAATTTATAATAGTGTAACACTAAACAATGTAACACGTTTTAGCTTCGATGCGAAGCTGAGAAGGTATTAATTTTACTGTGTTTTTGTTTTTATTTTTTTTTTTTTGGTGTCTGTATATGCTCAATATCTCAGCTATCGCTGGACCGATTTTGATGAAAAAATATGCCAAAAGATCACAAATCGTATCTAGTCGAAGACATACCCTCAAAATTTGAAAAAAAAATCCCTCGTTCCCCATAAACGGGGGAAATCCCCCAAAAAATTACAAATTTAAAAATCGCTAATTTTCGACATTTTTTCAATTTTTTTACTTAAAATTGCCATAACTTTTTTAAAAATTACCGAATCAATATAATTTTTTTTTTATAAATACCTCAGGTATTTACCTATCATTTTAAATATTTTTGTGAACATTTGACCCTTTACAAGCCCACAGGAAGGGTTTCAAAATGGTAAATTTTTTACAAAAATTAACTTTTTCAACTTAACTTTTGAAAATGTTCCAGAAATACTGACACTTTTATATATATCTTAAATTAAAGCTTATGTAATATACTTTAAATTGAAAAAAAAAATTTGACCTCTGGATTTGTCTTCATGGTAAAAATGACTACCGTATTTAAAAATATGCTATGTTTTGTTAAAATTCTGGGTTTTGTATATTATTTTATTTTAAATTACCTAACAAGGGGAGTACACAGATTATCATAAATATTATATAAATAAAATTGATATAGCATAGAAAGTTAAACTTATTTAAATATTTTTGCTTTTTGAACTAGCTTAATTTTTTTAGCCAACGTTAGCAACGTATGGTTAAACATGTGTTTTACGTGCTTGGGGTACAAGGTTCTAACCCGTGTATGGCAATGGATTTTTTGCATCTTTTCTTAATTCTTTTTAAGTTAAAATACATTTTCAACTCCTTTGATTTTTATCTCATTTAGATTCAATAACTTCAATAAAGATCAAAGATCCCATCACTGTAGTCGCCACTCGCGAGAAGAAATTTTTTATTCATATTAAAATTATTTTACTATATTTTAAATTTTAGATTCGATGCAAAGCTGAGAAGATATTTTTTGTGACTATCATTTATTTTCTCTGCTCTAACTTGGCCTACTTTTTTCAACGATACGTCAAATAACTACAATTCGTATCTAGTTGAAGATATTACCCTCAAAAATTGAAAAAAATTCTAATTTATCAATGAAACAGTTACTTATCCTATGTTCTCCATGCAGACAATTAAAATCATGTACTTCTAATATTTTCAAAGTATTTATTGACGAATCAAGTTTGATATGATAATTTGATATGATAATTTGATATGATAGGTTTCAAATACAAAATAAAATCATTTTACTTTGTAATTTAATATTTTTTTTACTCTATGTGTGTGTGCTACTACTAGACTATAATATTCCAAATTTTTTGGTAACATGTTGCTATATAAATCATTTCTAAAAAAAAATGATATTTAATTTCTCCTGAATTAATAATGGATTTTTACAATTATAATCAAATTTTATAATACGCTCAATTGAGTAAATCTTTTTAACAACTTTGTTATCATTAGTTCATTTAGTTAAAGTAAATCATTAAAATTAATTTAGTTCTGAATATTTCAATTGCAAAATTTTTTTAAACACCAAAAGTTATTAGAAAATGATTACTATTACTTCTATTTAAGTTATCTATTACGATAAAAATGCAAAAAAATATTAAGTTGTTATGATAAATTTACTATAAATAGTATTTATAAAACTTCCTAACTGCATATTAATCTTAACGATACAATTTTTTGATTCTCAAAAAATTTTATATTTTANTCTTAACGATACAATTTTTTTAATTCTCATAAAATTTTCTATTTAATGATGTCAATTTCAACTTGTAGTTGAGCTAAAAGTTATGGTAACATATTCAATTTTTTTTACTATAAATTTTCACAAAACTTGTCAAAAATTTTTCATCAAATTTAAAGAACCAAAAAAATAGGTTAAAAATGAAATTTTTTTTTTTATTATAAACTTTCACTTTAAGGGACGAAATAAAGATTATGATTAAACTTCCCAATTTAGCTAAAAGTTATGATAAAATAAATTATTTTTTTTTTATTATAAACATTTACAACAATCAACTTTAAACGATTAAAAAAATAGGTTAAATATGTCATTTTCCTTATTTTTAACATATTAATAATCAAAATCAGTATTCATTTAAAAAAAAAAATTGTTATTCTTAATAATTTTTTTTTTATATATAAATACTTATTTTTTAATAAATAGTAATAATATTAAAACTTAGAAGTAATAGAAAAAGTTTAATTGCACACTTGAAAACATCGCGAAAAGTTTATTTAGAAAAGTATATTTTTGTTTCTGATGAAAGTTCTTTGTAGTCTAGTGTATTTATTCATAAGTAATAAAATTTTTTTATTAAAAAGTATTGCATCAATCCCTTTAAATTTTTATACGCGTTAAAAGTATATGAATATACAACTTCTTTTTATTTTTATAATATCTTCATAAAAATTACAATATTATATTATTGAATATCAATTTCATACTAAATTTTATTACTATAATTATTATGAATTTATATATTATAATTATAAATCGGGATAAAATGAAGGGAATAAGAGCTATGGTTGCTTTTGATATAATCTACCAACCTCTTAAAATTAAATACTATCTACAGATTTACATCGAAGCGTTTCTAATGATAGTGATTTTAATCACTGTCAGATATCATCTATACGTGTCCCATCTATGCCTCGTCCA